CGGGCCATCGACGGCAGACTCCAGCGCTTGTAGGATAAGTATACCTGACTCTGTAGCCTACTACTGTGTGTGTATGTGTGTGCATGTGTGTGTGGGGGCCAGCCCCAAGGTTTATGATTACAGTGTTTCAATCCGCCTAACAAACTAGAATTTTAAGGATCCCGAGTTGGACATTTGTAGACAACACCCTAGGATGAAGATCATCAGGACCTGTTGACTTAAATACATTCAACCCCTCCAGGTGCCCCTTTACTAGGTCAGCACAAACAGTTGGTGGGTTGGTATCTATACTAGGCTTACCTAAGGTCCCAATGGGATTCATGTCCAGGAACACGGATGCAAAGAAATCATTTAGAAGCTCTGCTTTGGCCATCCTATGTTACCAGTTGCCCTAGTTCAGCCTGAAGGGGCCCTAAGTTACTTTGCACCTTCTTTTTGCTTCCTATGTACTTAAAGAATGACTTTTTGTTATCCTTAACTTTTGCTGACAGCCTAAGCTCCATTTCTGATGTTGCTTTCCTCACTGTTTCCCTGCAAGCTCGAGCCAAGTAGGTATACTCCTCCTCAGTGGCAGCCCCCTGCTTCCACAGCCTGTAGGCCTCTTTTTTTCCTTCCAGGCTCTCCTGTATTTCCCTGCTCAACATATTCTCTTTCCTATTCTAGCTTTAGCAAATATAGTCTGAGCATATGAACATAAATTCTCATTTAAATGGACTGGTATCAACCATGACAATTCTTAACTGTCAATAAAAAGCTAACATTAAATATGGAATAATTTATTAATATAATAATTTGTAAACAATCTTCACTTACCTGACATTCTGGTGCCTTTTCACATATAGACTATGAAAGTTGTTATCATGTATTTGCCTAGTATCGTTGGTTTCTTTGAGTCGCTCTATGATGGCTAGTTTCATTCCCATTGAGATATGAGCTGGCAATATAGATAAAAGCAAGTTTTCCTTGAAGGGAGGAAAGAAAAATAAAAGATGTAATTCTATAAAGTTATCTGACTTGCCAAGTAGGGAATCTCAGGATTTTAGAAATTGAAAGGAGGGGGTGGGGGAGGAGCTTCCTACAGAAGCTTTTGAGTGTTGCAGGTCAGATGTTCAAAAAGTGATTTTGCATCTATGCTCAAAATCAGAAAATATATTTTCACCACACTTTGGAAGATGAAGAGTTCTGTGTACTGTTTTTGAATGACAAAAGGACATTTAAAATGCATCTGAACCTGTAACGGTCTGTGAACTATAACTGTGAAAGAAGTGTTCCATCTACTTTTTTTCAGTGTTTGGATAAATTAATGATTATTTTCTGACTACAGTCTCTCTTCACAACTGAGAATGATAAAATCTCATAACTCAAGAACTCATGATGTAGAAGTAATAGCCTATAAAATACTCAGATCCACCTAAATTCTTATTATGGATATATAAAGTAAAAAATATAAATTGCCTTCCTTGCTGGAAGAGGTATTTGAGCAATTCAAATGTTGAAATACTGGTGGGATACTTTTCTAGAAAACTCTATTGCCAAAATGCTAATGCATCTTAAATGAGCTGAGCAGTCAAACTCTATCAAAGTAGAGACTTCTAATTTCACCAAAGACAGACTATTTAAAAAAACCAAACTTGTACCACTTGTTTAAGTAAAAGATTAACAAAACTTTGCCCATTTCCCCTGAACAAGTAGACTGGGCCACAGACTGAGGTAAGAGAGTCGAGGAATAAAAAGCAGAAGCGACAATGTTGAAATTATCTGATGTTCCTGATAAGGAATAAAATGAATAATATCCTTCAGAGCTTCTGTCAACGAATGAGCATGCCCAGAACTATGCAGTATGTTTTTTCCACACAAGACTGAAGAGGTGGTTAATGCTCTGTTGGATCAACTGAAGGATCATGAGCAGTTGGATTTAAGTGAGCCTGGGGGCTGGGGGGGAGCAGAGCGGATGGAAAGCACCATCTAGTTTTTGAAAACAGTACAATTTCAATAACATATAAAAAAAGAAAAAGAAAATGTAGTGGAAGACGAAAAGTTACACCTGGCAACTTCTTCCTCCCAATGAATTTAGGTGGCTGCCAAAGGTTTGAAGTTCCAAATCTGCAGCAGCCTTTACAGAGAAAAGGATTTTTCTCCACCCTTGTGCTGGACTGAATACTTAGTAAGATGCACTGTGGGCAGGGGTAGGGAAGTTCTACCTTTTATCTGAAACATCATGTAACACTTAGCAGGAAGATTAGACAGATCCATGGTTTGAGGCCTGCCCCTGAAAAAGGAAGTCAACATTTCCTCCATTGCTCGTATTTTAACATTTAAGAGATTTAAGATTAGCAAACAATTTACCATGACAACACAGCCTGATTTTAAAAGGGTAGGGTAGTTCTTCAGTGCGGAAAAAAAAATGTTACTTCATTTTCTGGACAAGTGGTGCAACCCTGGTACCTGCTTTCTCAAGTCTCAATGTGGGGCAGGAAAGTATAGAAATGGAAAGCATTAAGTGTGATCAGCAACAAAGGAAGGGAAA